GACAATTTATTTGTAGATCTTACTTTGCTAAACATTATTGCTGTTTACAGTTTATCTCTATCTATAATAATATTCAAGATAATAACCAATAAAATGCTTCGCTGGGGCGCAGCTTGATACGACCGCAGAGGTCGAACCCTGAACAGTTGGGGCAAGTATGGACACAACATTCAAGCTTGATACAGCTCTGAATTTGGATTGTTATTAAATATTTGACACAGCATAGGTTTCTGACACAGAAAGAATGTGGTCTAAGAACTTGATTTTTTTTTAATTTACCTATTATGGTCCAATGTCCAAAATCAAAATACATGGTTAGATTCAGCATATCAAAGAACCCCATATATTCAATTTTTGTTAAAATCAAACAAAGTTTAATTTTGGACCCCAACTTGGACAAACTTGAAAACTGGGCCCATAATCAAAAATCTAAACACATGTTTAGATTCAGCATATCAAAGAACCCCAAGAATTCAATTTTTGCTAAAATCAAACTAAGTTTAATTTTGGACCCTTTGGACCTTAATGTAGACCAATTTAAAAAACGGGACTTAAAATTAAAAATCTATATACACAGTTAGATTTGGAATATCAAAGAACCCCAATAATTCAATTTTTGATGAAATCAAACAAAGTTTAATTTTGGACCCTTTTGACCTCAATATGAACCAATTTGATAGCGGGGCCCACAAATAAAAAATCTAAATTCATGGTTAGATTCAGCATATCAAAGAACCCCATATATTCAATTTTTGTTGAAATTAAAAAAAAGTTTAATTTTGGACCCCAACTTGGACCAACTTGAAAACTGGCCCATAATAAAAAATCTAAACACATGTTAAGATTCAGCATATCAAAGAACCCCAAGAATTCAATTTTTGTTAAAATCAAACTAAGTTTAATTTTGGACCCTTTGGACCTCAATGAAGACCAATTTAAAAAACGGGACCCAAATTAAAAATCTAAAAACACGGTTAGATTTGGCATATCAAAGAACCCCAATAATTCAATTTCTGATGAAATCAAACAAAGTTTAATTTTGGACCCTTTTGACCTCAATATGAACCAATTTGATAGCAGGGCCTACAAATAAAAAATCTAAATACATGGTTAGATTCAGCATATCAATGAACCTCATATATTCAATTTTTGTTGAAATCAAACAAAGTTTAATTTTGGACCCCAATTTGGACCAACTTGAAAACTGGGCCCATAATCAAAAATCTAAATACATGTTCAGATTCAGCATATCAAAGAACCCCATATATTCAATTTTTGTTGAAATCAAACAAAGTTTAAATACTGGACCCTATCTTGGACCAACTTGAAAACTGGGCCCATAATCAAAAATCTAAACACATGTTTAGATTCAGCATATCAAAGAACCCCAAGAATTCAATTTTTGTTAAATCAAACTAAGTTTAATTTTGGACCCTTTGGACCTTAATGTAGACCAATTTAAAAAACAGGACCCAAAATTAAAAATCTAAATACATGGTTAGATTTGGCATATCAAAGAACCCCAATAATTCAATTTTAGATGAAATCAAACAAAGTTTAATTTTGGACCCTTTTGACCTCAATATGAACCAATTTGATAACGGGGTCCACAAATAAAAAATCTAAATACATGGTTAGATTCAGCATATCAAAGAACCCCATATATTCAATTTTTGTTGAAATCAAACAAAGTTTAATTTTGGACCCCAATTTGGACCAACTTGAAAACTGGGCCAAAAATCAAAAATCTACATACATGTTTAGATTCAGCATATCAAAGAACCTCATATATTCAATTTTTGCTAAAATCAAACAAAGTTTAATTTTGGACCCTTTGGACCTTCATATGGATTTTTTTGTAAAAAAAAAAGATGCAACATTTGCAGATATTTTTACTGGTCTCCCTTCTTAAATATGCATTTCTTTAAACATAATTTAAAAGCAGTGTAAGGGAAGCAACCAAAACGTTGTATTTGGATTACCTCCCTTACACTGCTTTAAATTATCTTTATTGTTCATTAACCATTACTTTATACATAATTTAAAAGCAGTGTAAGGGAGATAATTTCAATGATGTATTTGATTTATCTCCCTTACACTGCTTTAAATTATGTTTTGTACTAAAGTATTTGTCCATTAACCAGGACAACTTGTTTTTCCCCCTTTTTTGCCCCTAATTCCTAAACGGTTTGAGCCATAACCCCCAAAGCAAATCCTAACCATCCCTTTGTGGTATGGAAACTTGTAGTATAATTTCAGAGAGATTCATACACTGTTCCACAGTTATTGTCTGGAAACTATAAAAATGCTTATTTTTGGCCCCTTTTTGGCCCCTAATTCCTTAACTGTTGGTACCATAACCCCCAAAATCAATCCCAACCTTCCTTTTGTGGTATTTAACCTTATGGTCAAATTTCAAAAAGATCCATTCACTTATACTAAAGTTAGAGTGCGAAAACCAATGTGTATTCGGACGACGACGGACGACGACGACGACGACGCCAACGTCATACCAATATACGACCACAAAATTTTTTTGCGGTCGTATAAAAACTGCAAAATTTCATTAAAATTACCAATTCAGGGGCAGCAACCCAACAACAGGTTGTCAGATTTGTCTGAAAATTTCAGGGCAGATAGATCTTGACCTGATAATCAGTTTTACCCCATGTCAGATTTACTCTAAATGCTTTGGTTTCAGAGATATAAGCCAAAATCTACAGTTTACCCCTATGTTATATTTTTAGCCATGGCGGCCATCTTGGTTGGTTGGCGGGGTCATCGGACACATTTTTTAAACCAGATACCCTAATGATGATTGTGGCCAAGTTTGGTTAAATTTGGCCCAGTGGTTTTAGAGGAAAAGATTTTTGTAAAAAGCCAACGACGACGGACGCCAAGTGATGAGAAAAGCTCACTTGGCCCTTTGGGCCAGGTGAGCTAAAAATGCTTGTTTTTTGCCCCTTTTTTACCCTAATTCCTGCATGTTTGGGCAATTACCCCCAAACTCAATCCCAGCCTTCCCTTTGTGATATGGAACCTTATAATTATCGTACAATGTCAGAGAGATCCATACACTTACAGTGACTAACTTACACACAAGTTATTGTTCAGAAACTACAAAAATGCTTGTTTTTGGCCCTTAATTCCTAAACTGTTGGCCCCATAACCCCCAAAATGAATCCCAACCTTCTACTTGTGGTATTTATCATTGTGGTACAATTTCAGAGCAATCGAAATACTTATACATAAGTTATTATCCTGAAACTAGAAAAATGCTTATTTTGGGCCCCTGTTTCCTAAACGGTTGGGACCATCTTCCCCAAAATCAATCCCAACCTTCCTTTTGTGGTATTGAACCTTCTTAAAAAAATTCATAGAGATCCATTCACTTAAACTAAAGTTAATGTCCGGAAACCAAATGTGTCTTCGGACGACGATGCAGACGACGACATCATAGCATTATACGAACCCAAAAAAATGTTTGCAGCCGTATGAAAACTAAATGCTTCATTACAAATTCATAAAATTTCTTGTTTCTTTTCACTGCATTTCTTAAAATAAACTGGAAACTGCTTGAATGAAAGGGAACTAAAAAGTTATAAAAGTCAACCGTAAACCAACTTACAATGTATAAACTACAAAACATAATCGGTTATCATTCGTTCCGTTTTTGGGTTTCATATTGACGAATATGTTTTGTATTAGCTTAAGACCCTTTAAACATTAACATGATTAATGTAATAGATATATTAAACATTGTTTTACACAAGGATGGAACTGTTTTACTTTCAAAGTAGTATTATAGTGATATCTATTAAGTACGGATTTCAACTCTCAATGTTCTTTTACACGTTCTATTCAAACTTCCGCTTTAAACATTGTACACAAGTTTCTTAATTGTTTTTGTGTGATTTTGACTTATTTAAACAATCATGAAGTGTTCTAGAATCATTTACAAGCAGTTTCAACTTCTGTTTGATGATCATGATGATGGAAAACAGGTTTTTCCATGAAAATACAGTAAACAACCACACACAATTTGAAATTACAGGAGTTTCATTAGACAGTTTTTAACAGTTACAAAAAGTTTTTTTACCTGAAATTTCTTGGGGAGAAGGGGGTGCGGACAATGTACCAGTGCGAACTATACAAGCACGATTACAGTATATGTTCATATAATTAAGTCTTTAATATTAGCTGATCATTTAACATGTACCATACTCTAGCTATCATGGCTATGTTTAAATATTATTGTATTTATCAGTTTGTTCAGGGCTTTTCAGATTTACTTGAACTTCCTTTAAAATGAACATGAAGAATAACTATACAAAATAAATTTACTGTCACAATTTTAAAATAATATTGCTGTAATATATACATGTAGTAATTTTAATGCCTCAACAAGGAGATGATTTTTATGAAGTAACTATCCTTCTACAGGTGCAGCATTTTTTTTCCAACAATACCTTAAACTGTAAATCATGCTTATATTTTGTAATGCATTTTCTACACAACCATTGACAGTACTATTCAGAATTTACAGATTTGTTTGTACAGATTCTATGGACTTGTCATTTTTTAGCAAGGACAAGTCAATGGCTAACAGTGGGAAGAAGAAATTTAATTGCTAAATAATTTTTTATTTCAGTCTTCATGAAAAAATAGTGCAAGAAAATGACATCAAATTTAAATAATTTTTAAACTTTTACTATAAATAATTACATGTAGTCTCAGCTGCTACAGCATTCGTCTATCTTGATGCATTTTAGACTCACCAGTTTTGAAAATGATTTTTAATCCAGAAGATGGAATCCCCTTTATGAAATTTTTGAAATATTTAAATACTTGGAATATGGCGTGTGTTATGTAACCTACCTTTAACGCTAGCAATATGGCATGTCTTTTGTATGTATACTCCAACTTTAGTGCTATGAGTAAGGCATGTGTTAAATACTCTACCTTAATGCTACCAATATGGCATGTGTTTTATACTCTACCTTTAATGCTACCAATATGGCATGTGTTTTGGATTTGATGCCTACAGCCGCAGATCCTTGTTTCACTGCTTCCATAGCATATTCAAGTTGGTGAATTCTGCCCTAAAATACAATTTTTTCATAAAATCATTTTTATATCTACATGTACATGTACATGTATATATATATCAGTCAGGGATATAACTCTAAAGGGTTATTACAGAAAAATAACATACATTTGTTATTGTGGACTAAAAAATCAAAGAACTGTGATAACATATGTATGTTACATGTTTCAAAGGGACAATATACATCACTAGCTTAGTTAAAATGCATACAAGTTCTCTTGATATTACTTTTGTCTTTATGTATACTTAACTATAGAAAGATACAACAGTTCATAGTTTGCCAATTTTGCATAGTACACCTGTATGTTATTACAGAAAAAATATGCCTGTAATAACTAAAGGGTGTTATCACAGCTTCTCTATATCACTCCAAAGCATTCTCTCAGACATACATCATGTTTAATTACAATGTATTTTGATTTATTGTAAGAAATAATGACCAGAGCTTGTAATGAGGTTCTGCGCAAGCTTCCCAGTAATTCCCAAGTGTCTCATATAATAAGTTACATTCCTTTAATAACTAAGCTATGTTATTACAGCTAAGTTTATCCCTTAAAAGCCTTGTCTCATTGATTTACCATGGTTAATCAAAAATGTATTAATTTAATTAAAAAATTAATTATCAAGGCTATGCATTTAGTTTCTGCGCAAAGTCTCAAGAGTTCCCTAGAGCCCATTATAAATAAAAATATGTTTGATTTATTTTACAAATAACAAACATATGTTATTGCAGATTTAGAAAATTTAAGGAATAAAGAGTAGACAACTCATGAAAGTGTCTGTAATAACACATGCAAGTTATTTTCTGTAATAACCCTTTAGAGTTATATCTCTGACTGTATATTCAGACAGAAAATCTATATTCCCATTTAACTAAAATTGTTATACATGATTGTCATGTTTGTTATAAACATTATCAATTCTGTGGATTCATTTATTTTGGTACCAATTTTTGTGGATTGAGGAAAAATTGTTTTTTGTGGATATTTGATTTCACAGTTTTGTCAAGTCAGCATAGAAACTATAGAAAATTTGTACTTTCTTGGACATTTCAATTTATAGTTCCCCTTTAACAACAGAATCCACGAAAAAATAGGTATCACATGAACAATAATGAATCCACAGTTATGAAAGTAGCTCTGTTGGATTTTGTTATTTCTACCTGCCCTTCTCAAAATTTTTCCTCAGAATTTGTAAGTACTTGTATATTGGACAAAAATGCCTGTTGTTCAGTGGTTGTTGTTTGTTGGTGTGGTTCGTAAGTGTTTCTCGTTTCTTGTTTTATTACATAGATTAGACCTTCGGTTTTCCTGTTTGAATTGTTTTACATTAGCCTTTTTGGGGCACTTTGTAGCTCAGTGTGAGCCAAGGCTCTTGTTGAAGGTCGTACTTTGACCTATATTTGTAACTTTTTACACATTGTGACTTGGATGGATAGTTGTCTCATTGGCACTCATACCACATCTTCTTATTTATATTTACAAAAAAAAAAAGTTCAACCTTGCCATGACACTCAGTCTCTTTATGTTCTTGTCCCAAGCCAGAGGTCTGTAACATGTACAAAGGTTGTTTTGATTGTTTTCTACCATAACTGTTTGTTGTCTCTTTTGCATTGTTTAACACTTTGTCAAACATATCAAAATTGGGTCTACCATAGCTTAAAACTATACAGTAAATCATATCGCTTTTGACCTTTGGGCAAAGCTAAGTGAGGGACAGGAAAGTGACTTTATCGCCCCAGACGTCTGCTAGCATGAGCCCTGTTGTAACAGTGTTGTATAAATTTTGCTTATTGAATGCCAATTAATATTACTAGTATATGTAGGAACATTGTTCTGATTTTGTAAATCTCTTGCTGGTGATTCGTCAGCACGAATGCTTGTGATTTTAAGTGATTCATATTGTACATAGAGCTGCCTATTCAGTATAAATAGCAACAAAAGACTTGAAAATTAGAGTTTATTTGCTTGGAATCACTCAAAACCACCCTCAGTGATCATGGGGATTTTAAACTGTATCAGCCATAGTTTACAGTGTTCCAGCTTGAATCTCAGGGCATAAGGGTGCTAGTTGTCTGAAAGGGCACTTTAGCGTTATAACCCAGATTTTAAGGGCAATGTTTGACAGTGTATAAATTACCTTGAATATTGCTAGGCTAAGCTGGAGAACATTAGTTGTATTTAAACCATATTCAAAAATTTATGTGTTCTTGATGTTGGTTCCAGTAAGGGTTTTTTTATCAAATTATCATACCATGAAGCAAAGCATATCATTTTGATGTTAATCTAAACAAACTTGTACATTTGGTAAGGAAAATAGTCTTCAGAAATTTCAATGTTTTATAACTTATACCAAAATAAACAAGCAGTTTTGAAAGATGGAGTTATACATGCAAAATTGAATGTTTAATGTAATTAAATTATCTATATTTAATTACTTGTTCAAACATATAGTATATATGTTATTGAGAGTTATTTATTATCATGATTATCATTTGAATTGTCACAAAAAGTAATTTTAAGTGCACACCAAAGTGCTCCTCAGTAAGGAGTTTTATAAATATAACAGGTGAGACAGGAGATGATCATATTATATTGATGCAATAATATATTGCAGAAGGTATAAACAGTTACTTTTTTCTCCATCATTGTTAAAAATAAATTTGTTGAGTGCTCTTATGTCAGGAGGATTATAAAATACAAGAAGTAAAACAGGAAGTGAATCTTGTTATGTTCAAAGTACAAATTTCTCTGATTCTTCTTAAATTCATACTCATGCTTATGAAACAAAATATTTTTTACCAATTTAAGTCAAAACTATGTATGCCTTTAAAATTGTTTAAGATTTTATTTTTTATGTTATGCCTACTGAAATAAATTTTTTCAGGTGTACATGCTGTACATAAACATTACAAATGGACAACATGTGGACATTTCATTCTGTATTAAATATCTAGTATTTGTTCAATTATCTTAAATCCACTAATTAGCAGTAAACAATCATTAACAAAGGTGATAAAACTGCCAAAGTATTAGGTATTTAACTTAATCCCAATGTCAGTTAATTAGTGTTACACAATCAGGTAACAATTTTACCGGAAACGCCGGTAGGCATAAAATTTGGAAATTTGATCTTTTTTGAAAAGGCAGAGGGGTGCATTCTTTTACTTTAGAGGGCAGAAGGGCGGGGGTAAGGGCACCTTCTATTTAGGGCAGGCGGGAACACTGGTTTATATTTACTGTACATGTATATCAGTGTCAGATAGATACTTAGGCTAACATTAAAATTCAAATTGTTTGATACTGTCTTCCTACCCACCTAAAAAGCAGCTTACCCTAAAAAAAATTATGGCACAAATCATTTCACAAAATGTTTCAATTATTTTTTTTAGATTTTTTCCTGCTTTAACATGTTTAAAATGTTTAACCGTTGTTTTCTTGTCTAAAACATGTAACTTATGTCATGTATGTTGTTCGCTAAAGAAAAATTCCTATGTACCTATCAAACCCATATATAAGTCATGGGTAAGCAATATCAAACACAGAATTTTTAAGGTTGGCCTAAAAATATTACCTGTGGACTCCAGACTGTAACATCATTGTCATACTGATTACGAAACTACAAAGAAAAGAAATACATTACTAATCATGCTAATAATCAAAATGATTTTGACATGAACATTTGTGAACTAAAAGTAATTTTGAGTTTCTGTATAAAATAATTCCTGTTTTTTCTTTTTCCGTATATCTTTTGGTTTTCAATAGTAGTGTTTATATTTCATCATCAAAGATGTATTTTGTCACCTGCCTGGAATTATTATTTTCTTATTGTATATGATCGGCAAACCAGGAATTACCCTTATCTGCCCCCAGAATCTGATCCAGTATTGTAATTGTCTTCATTTCCAGTTTATGGCATCCATTGTTTTTCAATGTTGTTTTTGAGGTTTGTCAGTCAGATACGATTTTACTCGGACTTACACATTACTTGTTGGAGATTTTCGGTATAAAGCTAGCGGTTGAACAAAACAGTCAGGGGTACTACTTAAACAAGTGATTTCAGAATCACTTCTTCAAGTGATTTTGGCTGTGAAATATTAAAAATTTTCACAAAAATAGACACAGACTTTTTAAAATCACTAAAACAAGTCATTTGAGAAGTTAAAATGTAATCACTTCAACAAGTGTTTATAACATTTTCTTGATATTTTTCCCACATGCTTGCCTTTTTTATTGGTAAAAAGACAAGAATTCCATTGAAAAAACAACCATGTACATGCAGACATTGTCTTTTGCTTGATTAGCCCGTCAGTTTTTACAGTTTATCTAAAATATGCAAAAACTGGAATAATTTGTAGATCAGGACATAACCTTGAAGTAGATCAGTATAGCTCTAAAGAAAACCAATCAGGTTACCTAATATTGTTGACCTTTGTCTGATAGTAAGAGTAGTTAATGAATATTTTATTATAGAAAAATTCCCAAGGGTACTTTTAAAAGCTTTAGCTCACTAAACGTGCTAACTTACTGTCCAAGCCCACTGGTAAAATTGATATACAAAAGAAAGTGATAATTAGTTCTATGTAGGAAAATTATAGAAAAGTTTGTCAAAATATGGAAAATCAATGAAATTAGCATTTGAAGATCAAAGGAAACACCAAAATCACTTAAATAGGTGACAACTGAATTTATCAAATCACTGAAATAGGTGATAATGAAATCACTTGTTTAAGTAGTACCCCTGACTGCAAAATGAACATTGATGTCATGAATAATAAATATGAAAATAAATATTGAATTCGTTTGGAAATTTTGGTTAAAAAGGTTGGTAAAGTTAATTTTTATTTTCTTTCAAATTGAAGGTCTGTCGGGTGAGCAAGTAACCAAAACGAAAGTCTGATTGCAATAGTGGAAGGTCGCAGACCTCGGACCACCGCTAATTTGAACCCCTGAACTTCTTTCCCTATACATGCTATATATTACGATATAGTGATAGAAGATCTTCTTCTTCTTCTTTTTCTAACAATCCTTCAATTATTGAAGATTATTCGGGGAAGGTCTATTAACAGGACAGATAAAACCAGGACAGTTATTTTCGATACGTTTTCATCTGTAACTTTTGTTTTAATTAACATATTGTTAAAATTTAAATTGTAGAATAAAGAACAGGGTATATACTTGCATTATTTGTAAAAAAAATTAAAATAAAAAATTAATAAGTTAAAAAAAATCTGCCAGGACAGTTAAATTTTAAGAAAAAAATGGCTGAAATTGCCGAGAAAAATTTACTTATAATTGAAATAATTTCTCCAAAACAACTGTCTGGCATAATATTTTTGTGCGATGATAAATTTTAAGGAATAATCATTCCAAAAATCTATAATTCAATATTTATTTTGTCTTTTAAAGGTAAAAAAATCTGCCAGGACAGTAGCCTATTAAGTTAGAAATTTTGTTGAAATCAGCTCAAAATCAAAATATAAAGTTAAATATCTTCTTCAAAATGAATGTCTGGTAAGCAAAATTTGGTTCATTGGAAAGTTTGAAATATAAGCTTCAAGAAAATATAAAAAAATATGGACTTTTATTTCATTAATTCGCCATGGATAGAAAACAACAGCCTGAGAAAGAAAGGCAATTGAAAACATGAATAACTGATTTCTGATACAGAAAAATCAAAAAGAAAAAACAAGGTGAATAACACGGTTGTTTTCATTTTTAAAAAGAGTAAATACCACTACTTCTACTATGACTGAGTATAATTCGACAATCATGTCATAAAAAAATATGCACATGACAAACAAAAAGATCAAACCATACAACATTGTACCATTGTTGTAGCTTTACGTGCTTCTTAATCTGAACAGATGCACTAATGCGTGTACAGGGCTTACATTCCCTTATGTGATAACTTAATATTAATAGGATTAAACGTAGAAAGTTTCGCTCAAAATTTACCATTTTTCAAGATTTCTACCGGTATGACAGTGTGAAATTTTCTGGTCAAATAAACTTCCTTCAACATAGGAGAGCATATTTCCATGAGAGGTAATTCAAATTCCCGCCATAATTTCAAGAGTTATAAAATTTTTCGTTCATTCCTGAAAGGATTTGTATACAAATATACAAATCCTTGGCTCATTGACGGATATTGATAAAAATATATCATAATTTCGAAAACTCACAATTTGTTCAAAGATAAGCAGCAAGAATTAAAAATACGTATATATAATAGATTATTGAGGCCCCTCATGGGGGTGTCCAAGGGTTACACTAAAGACCTGAATGTGGAACCTGAAAAGACCTGAATAGACCTGAAGATATACTACTAGATTTATTCAAATTACAATTACTTTTTTTATTTTTCAAAGGATTTTCTTCAAGTTAGAATTTTATTAAAGGTAAAGATCCACATGATATTAAATGTTAAAATGTTTTAAATAAAAAACAAATTGTTGATGCCAAAATTCGGACCTGAACGGAGAAATGAAAAGACCTGAACGGACCTGAAATTCTACGATCAGACTTATTCAAACTTCAATAACTGTTTTATTTTTAAATGGATTTCTTTCAATTTTAGATTTTGTGAAACGAAAAATTCAATATATTAATAATATTTAAAAAGAAATTTTGAAAAATATTTTTGAGGTGTCAAAACTCGGACCTGAACGAGAAATCAAATTACCTGAATTGACCAGAAAATCTGCGGTCAAATTCATTCAAGTTCTATAACTGTTTTAGTTTTCAATCAATCTTCTTGAAATTTGAAATTTGTAATAAAAATGTATAATATTTTATTGAAATGATAAAGAATTTTATAAAGAATATTTGTTTAGTTCTAAAAATCGGACATTAACGGGGAAATAAAAAGACCTGAATGGACCTGATAAATACGCCGGAGTAGATGTATTTGAACAGACATAACTTTTTTTATTTTTCCATTGATTTTATTCTAAATTAAATTATATTAAAGAGAAAGACTGATTACATTTATATACAGGAAATTTTTTGAATAATAATAACCATGTTCATGTTGAAACCTGGACCTGAAGGGAAAACAGGATTGTCCGTGGAAAATTATTCAAACTAATGTTGGCATGACACGGGTTATGTTCTTCTCATATATGTTATGATGGTATGATACTAAACCCCTAACGGGAAGGATTGTGCCTGACATTCATATGATGAAGACATAATCTTTCAATCAGTTTAATTGAAGTCTGGAGCTGGCATGTCAGTTAACTGCTAGTAGTCTGTTGTTATTTATGTATTATTGTCATTTTGTTTATTTTCTTTGGTTACATCTTCTGACATCAGACTCGGACTTCTCTTGAACTGAATTTTAATGTGCGTATTGTTATGCGTTTACTTTTCTACATTGGCTAGAGGTATAGGGGGAGGGTTGAGATCTCATAAACATGTCTAACCCCGCCGCATTTTTGCGCCTGTCCCAAGTCAGGAGCCTCTAGCCTTTGTCAGTCTTGTATTATTTTTAATTTTAGTTTCTTGTGTACAATTTGGAGTTTAGTATGGCGTTCATTATCACTGAACTAGTATATATATTTGTTTAGGGGCCAGCTGAAGGACGCCTCCGGGTGCGGGAATTTCTCGCTGCATTGAAGACCTGTTGGTGACCTTCTGCTGTTGTCTGTTCTATGGTCGAGTTGTTGTCTCTTTGACACATTCCTCATTTCCATTCTCAATTTTAATTAACTTCTTTAAATTGTATTTATATAAACATCTATAAAACAGGTTTTAAACTGTTATATTTATGTATTGAAAATAAAAGTATCATTTGCACATAAACCATGTATTTAACTTGGTATTCAACGGTCTAACTTATCATCAATCTGATGACTGGGAGGCAAATCTACAAACTTTTATTATAGGGAACTAGGAATAGAATACATGGTTACGCTTGTACACAGATTCGGCAGACATGGTAGAAATGAAGCACGCCCGATATAGTTGCCAGATTTGTTTCTAGAAAGGAATTGGAACATGTTCTGAAACAAGCATATCGACTTAAGAATACAAACTTCGGTATCAACGAGCAATTCCCTCCAGAGATGTATGTTGAATGAAATGAATGAAAACACACAGGTTAATGCCGATCAGATAAATAGTCTTATTAATAACCTTAATTTTTTGTAAATTCTTAGTAAATAGTGCCACTAACGTTTTTATTGGTACAAAAAATATCAGGTCTAATAGGTCACCTAAATTAAATGCAAAACCTTGGTTTGATAAAGAGTGCAAAGAAAAACGAAATGCTTTTCGTCGGGTTAAAAATACATATAAGCATAATAAATCTGTAGAGATCAAACAACTTTTAAGCACTTCTGCTAAAGATTATAATTAAGAAAACACTAAACCAAAATTTTAGTAAGTATCAAGAAAAATGTGCTGTTGAGCTAAGATCCCACTCGAAATCTGACACAAAAGCCTTTTGGATGACTCTTAAAAAATATTCCGGTCAAACTAAACAGAACCCTCCAGTCAGATTCCTATTGACACATTTTACGAATATTTTAAAAAATTGAATCAATATGAACCCGATGCAGCTGATGATGCTATTGATATTGATTTTAACTCGATTTGTGATGATGCTTTGTACGATTCAATCTTAAACGAAGCGATTACGGAAGCTGAAATAATTGATGCAATCAAAAAATTAAAGAATAACAAATCACCTGGATTAGCTAAAATTTTAAAACATTGTTTAACACCGAAATAATACCAGAGCACTGGACTATTAATTGGTATAATAAGACCAGTTTTTAAAAACAAAGGAGATACCATGGATCCTGTTAACTTCAGAGCAATAACTTTAATAAGCTGTCTAGGAAAAGTCTTTACATCAATAAGTAATTCTAGGTTAACCTTTTTTGCAAATGAAATTTCCTTAATTTCATACAACCAAGCTGGATTTCGAAAAGGTCACTCTACAACCGATAATTTATTCGTATTGCATGCCTTAATATCACTGTATACTAGTAAGTCTTTTGGAAAAAAAAACTATTTTGTACATTTGATGATTTCCGCAAGGCCTTCGACACTGTATGGAGAAGTGGATTGTGGAAAAAACTACAGAACAGTGGTATAAAAGGGAAAATTTTTACTGTTATTTTTAATATGTATAATAATATTAAATCATGTGTTAAATACGACAACCAACAGTCAGAATATTTTCCCTGTTTTACTCAGTGGTGTTAGACAGGGTGAAAATCTATCTCCCCTTCTCTTTTCCATTTTTTTAAATGACATAGAACATTCTTTATTGATTTAGGTGGATGTCCCTTGAGACAGTTAAAGAAAAATGTCAAAATGAGTTAGATTCAATTATGAAACTTTTTGCCATACTGTACGCTGATGATACCGTCATTTTGGCGGATTCAGCTGAAAGTATGCAAAATATACTAAATAGTTTTCAGAATTACTGCGAATTATGGAAACTGGAAGTAAATGTTACAACAACAGAAAGTATGGTATTTAGCAAAGGCAAAGTGCGACGGAAATTTGAATTTGAATTTCAAGGCAAAAATATAGAATTAGTCGATACCTTCTCATAGCTGGGGCTCATATTCAAATGTAATGGTACTTTTACAGAAGCGAAGAAAAAAATTGTTAAGCAAGCACAAAAAGCATTATACAGCTTGTACAAAAGTATTAGAAATCAAGTCATCCCATTAGATTTACAGCTTAAACTTTTTGATGCCATGGTAGAGCCTATTCTTGTATATGGCTGTGAGATTTGGGGATACGAAAACTTGAAAATTTTAGAACAAATTCACTTAAATGTTTGTAAACATATTTTAAGAGTAAGACCTAAACATTGCTCAATTATAAATTTTAATATAAACTTTTACAACCGCTCATTTTAAGCTAATTCATTAAAATTAAATATTTTTATCGCAAGTCTATTTTGGCTCTTCTTGAATGATAATGCAAATGTTTTATAAGCTATGTTTAATTATCCAGGTCTATTCAGGTCTTTTCATTTTTTTTCTTTCATGTCTGAGTTTTGTCACAAACAGACAATATAAATATAACAATAAGAAGATATGGTATGATTGCCACTGAGACAACTCTCACATGCAAGAGACCAAATGACATAGAAGTTAAAATCTATAGGTCACCATACGGTCTTCAACAATGAGCAAAACCCATACCACATAGTCAGCTATCAAAGACCCCGAAATGACAAATGTAAAACAATTCAAACGGCCTGATTTATGTTTTATGTACAAATGAACGAAAAACAAATATATGATATACAGCAACAAACGACAACCACTGAGTTACAGGCCCCTGGCTTGATAAATTTAGTTGCAGTTGATGATTTTAAAACATGGTGTATAAAGTCATAATAGCACACAATTAATATCATGATATGTCTTCAACTTAGAATTTTGCACCATCTCAAAATCCGGAGTGATCAGATAGATCCAGCTTGACTGAATCAAAAATAAGGTGTGGTTTAATCCAAACGAGACAGCTCTCCACAAGAGACCAAAATGACATAGAAGTTAACAAATATAGGTCACCGTACGGCCTTCAAGAATGTATTTTCAGGTTTATTCATGTCTTTCAATTATCCGTTCAGGTCCAAGTCTTGTCACCAAAATAATGTTTGTCATTAATTTTCTTTTTTCCGTTTTGATAAAATATTCAATTTTTACTATAACAAATCTTGATTTCAAGGAAATTCTTTGATAAAAAAGAAAATGAAGTTTGAAAAAATATAAATAGGTGGAATTTCAGGTAAATTCGGGTTTTTAATTCTCCGTTCAGGTCCGAGTTTTGGCTTTTTGTTTTTTTTATTTAAAACATTTTATTTCTAATAAAATGTGGAAACTTACCTTTAATAAAATTCTAATTTGAAGAAAATCCATTGGAAAATAAAGAAGTTATTGTAAAAAAATCTCGTAATCATTCAAAAAGGATCTGGAAAAATTTCATAAAATTCAAGGAGGCCGTTTAACAAAACTATACTCACGGTATCGTAATGTAAATTGCAGAAAACTTT